TTAGTAGTTAGTAGCTAGTAGCTAGTAGTTAGTAGTTAGTAGCTAGTAGCTAGTAGTTAGTAGTTAGTAGTTAGTAGTTAGTAGTTAGTAGTTAGTAGTTAGTAGTTAGTAGTTAGTAGTTAGTAGTAGTTAGTAGTTAGTAGTTAGTAGTTAGTAGTTAGTAGTTAGTAGTTAGTAGTTAGTAGTTAGTAGTACGTAGTAGGTAGTAGGTAGTCGGTAGTCGGTAGTCGGTAGTCGGTAGTCGGTAGTAGGCAGTAGGCAGTAGGTAGTAGGTAGTAGGTAGTAGGTAGTAGGTAGTAGGTGGTGGGTAGTGGGTAGTGGGTAGTGGGTAGTGGGTAGTGGGTAGTAGGTAGTAGGTAGTAGGTAGTAGGTAGTAGGTAGTGGTGGTAGTGGTGGTAGTAGTAGTAGTGCACGCAGTAGTAGTCGTCGTCGTAGTAGTAGTAGCAGCAGCTGTAGCAGTGCTAGTGGTAGTGGTAGGGTAGTGGAAGTGGCGGTGGCAGTAGTAGTAGTAGTAGTAGTAGTAGTAGCAGCAGCAGCAGAAGCAGCAGCAGCAGGAGTAGTAGTAGTAGTAGTAGTCGTCGTCGTCGTCGTAGTAGTAGCAGAAGTAGTATAGTGGTGGTGGCGGTGCTGCTGCTGCTACTGCTGCTGGAAGTGCTAAAGCTGCTACGACGGCACGACTACAAGAACGGCAACGACAGCAAGCCCACGATGGTTGGACGTTGTTTGCATTCCTGTCTTTCTCTAGTTTCTTTTCCTCGTGACCGGGGCCTTGCGTCCATCTCGTGACGGGGAACTGTAGGCTAACTGTTTTGATCCGCCGTTGCCACCTCGGCTTGAAACCTTGCGAACTGCGCCGTGCGCACGTAGCTCCGGGCAGCAGCTAGCAGCTAACCTCTCCTGAGACAGATGCTCCGGAAACAGTCTGCTTGCCCAGAGTCATGGCACGGGTAGGTTCCAACAACAGAACACTATACGAGTCATGGGGGTCGTTGAAGGATAACTATGTCTCATGATCGGGCTGCGCGGCAAGCACGGATCCTGCCAGTATCCTGAACATGTGCCCGGAACTCCACTCAAAGCATCTTGTTGATCCTTCGCGGCCCGAAGGAAGCTGAAATCATGGTTTCAAGAAAGAGTATTCCAAGGGAAAGCCTCGAGGGCGCCATTGCTGCGCCATGCTTCGACGCGTCACGGTGCACGGCCTTGCGAGCCAGCCGTTTCCTGGATGGCTCGAGTTTTCAGAGGGCAATCGAGTTTCCAACAGTTTAAGTGTTAAAGTCTGATGGCAGAGTCTGGGTTCAAAAAAGTCTCAGCCTGTTGTTCATAGCCTTAGGTGTCATCCGGTGGCAGACGACCGTGCGAATTGTGAGGGTCGAAACGTTTCAGCCGTTGCTGTAGGCTTTAGCAGAACATGGCCCATACCCGGTCAGACAGCCACGGATGGACTCCGACGCCCCGCGACACCCAAAGAAACTGCGGGCTTGAATCGCCGGTTGCGCACCGACATGAGCCTAGGAACACTGCGGAAGCTGTACGATCTGCGCTCCTTGGTGAACCATTGTGATGCAGGGGCTGATAGCTTTTTACACATGCAATTTCTCGAATTCACGCCGATTTAATCGCTAGACTCGGATGTTCAAACGATCACGGGTTAGCCAGTTCAAGCATGCTAGGTGGGGGACGAGAAGCAGTGTTTCAGCGACATCGATAGGTGGTACAGGGCCGCGCATATTGGTTAACATTTCCACGCTGACGCTGGGCGACAAGCTTCGGCATGCACAGTAACTGCCAAGGCTTCGGGACTTTGAGGACGACCTCCACACAGGCGGAACTGTCCTGCTGTTGGAACCACACTCTGCAGCAGCACGTGGATGCCCACCCTCCCCTCCTGCAGTCACTGCGTCTGTGTCTGTGATTTCCTTTCTGATAAGCTCTTAGTAACCCTCACCCAATTCTGCGTGGTCTCATGCTTCGGTTCTCGCTCTCACGAATCCAAGCCCAAATGCACAACAACTTCTGGGCCTTGATTTCGCCACAAGACACGTGCGGACACGCACCCGCACATCTCTCACACATCTGGCAGGCCTGCGTTTGGAGAGCCCGGGTGCCGAGCTCGTCGTTGGCGCCTGCGAGCCTCCGGCTGGCGGACGCTTTGGGGCAAAGACAGAGATCATCTTGGCAGATCAGGCCGGCTTGGCCTGTGTTCGATCGCCGAACCAGATTCTGGTTTCAAGAGATTCATCATGGCGGAGCCGGGTTGTCAGGTTCTCGGCGTCTTTCAAAAGATTCACGTCTTGCCCTACAAGGATCTCTGCAAGGGCAACGCCCAGGGATTCAGTTTTTTCTCTTGTGATGCGCGTGGCAGCTAGGTGCGACCCACAGTCTGCAGTCAAGGACACCTTCAAGTACAATTTCGACCACATGTACCACAATCACCTCGTTCCGTACTTTCAGACCCAGCAAGTTGGAGAGTTCACCAAGGGTTTCGAGTTTTCCTACGATTCCGTGAGGTTTCAGGTCGTGGGCGTGCAGCCAGAGGACTCGTACGGAGTTGTGGGACACAACACAGAGATCTTCTATGAAGGGCCGGAGATCGAGCGGAAGGTTCTTGAACGCTTGCAGTTGATTCCTTTCGAAGAAGGCCTGCCAGATAAGTACCGGCCTAACAAGCTGTCCCTGGACGAAGCCGGCCTTTTGCGGGACTACGTGCGTCCCTACTTCGCTCAACGTTCGGCAGCCGTCCGTACAGGCGAAACGCTGCAAATCCGGGACCTGCGCTTCAAAATTATTGCGACGCGGCCATCGGAGGGCGGTGGCGTTGGCAAAGAGACGGAGCTCGCCTGCCAGGGGGTGGCCTTAAAAGAGCACTTCAAGCCTCCACCCCGGGCACAACCTAAGGGAAAGGCGGCTGCGAAGGCGGCCGCGGCTGCTTCAAGGGACGACCAAGAAAACCAGCAATGCTTGGTCTCGTAGAGCCGAGGCCCTGATGTGGCGTGTACTGGGCTCATGGACAAGAGCAGCAGGGCAGTTTGAAAAGTCGGAGGTGAGGGGATTGGCTAGTTCCTTTCCGACAGTGGGTTGGCAAGTAGTAACTCAGCAACCAGATCCAATCGCGCCGAGGTCACTAAACAAGTTCATGGCCTTCGAGAACAGAGATCCGTTCCAAGCCAAGCAGGACTCAACAGTCTAAGAGGCTCAGGCAGCCAGCGCCAAGACCCACAACTGTCACGAAGGAGCAGATGGAGAATCCGAACTCCACGAGCTGGCACCGGTGGTGTGCGGATCAGTACCTTAGGCCCATGAGCTCAGGGCTTGTGGCTGTTGCACAATTGTCAGTGGACGAGTGGACTGGAAGGTCCCGTGGGGTTCGCGCGGGATTTGCTGTATTCAGCCCAGTAGTGTCAGGCTCGCCATGGAGGAAGGTGAAGACATGGACGAAGGTGGGGGGCAGCTTGAACTGTGGCTCCGTTCGTTCGCACGGGTCTGTTGGCACGTTCGTTGACAGCTGCACAGGAGCTTCAGAAACAAGTTAACTAGTTAGGGTCTTTTTGCAGCTCTTTCTCACCTTCGCTCTTCAGGACAGGCCGATGGCTAGCTTTTTTCATGCCTGTGGCTCGGACTAGTAGCCGACAGGTTCACTCGATTCAAGTTTGCATTGCGATTTGGGGCCTTGCGGGAAGCATGCGGCACATGCTTCAACCCGCAACATCTGGCACCGCTCGTACAGAGGTCCGTGCACTGAGCCGTGCTTCGCTCGGTGCGGCGCTGTGCCGCCCGTGACCTGTCCCCTGTCGCAAGGGTTCAACAGGTAAAGGGAGGTAACAGAGTGACGGTCAGTAGAAGGAAGCCAGTTCCAGGCTTGGCTCTTCAACATCGACGGAGACTAACAAAAACAAACGGCGCGTGAGGGGACAGGGATTCTCAGTCGTCTCACCCTTCCCATCAAACCCTGTGCCCCAAGTCCCCACATGCTCCTGCTTGCCCTCGGGTAAGTTTGGCGAGTTTTGTCTCACACCCAAGTTGAAAGATGCCTGGACACGAAAGTTTCAGGCTTCGGGCAGCAGATGCTGAGCAACCTGACTCCCTGAGGTTGACGACGTAGTTAGTCGGAGAGGGTAAGAGTCAGGAGGCTCCTCGAGCTCTCCTTGTGTTGTCGATCCTTCAAGTGCCCCGCACGGTTGACAACGTCTGCCAGCACGAGAAGGGAAGAGAGACCCATGCTGAAGCATTCAAGCTGCTGACCCCGACATCATCGTTCCAGGTTCTTCCTGCAAGTCATCTGCACTCATGTGCTATTACTGCTTGGGATCCATCTCCGCGTGGCACTGAATCCGAAATTAACACTTCACGAAGGCGACGTGCTTGTCTGAGCGTCTTGACTGCCGGTTTCGTGAAGTAGGACTTCAGCATGAGGTCTCGCTCCCTGATGGTTAACACTGGCCAAAGTGGCTTTATGCATGTGCTCGTCGCCAAAAGAGAACCAACTCGAGTGCCGAGGTGTCTTTGCTGAACTGCCTCAAGTACCGTATCCACACTGTTTGACACAGGTCTGGCTCCAACTTGCTCAGGCTTGTGTCAGTCTCATGTTCAGGCACTAACTCTGACTCTTCATAGTGCTTGTAGGACATGTCCTTGTCATAATGTCCGCTGTTCCGCCCGGCACTGTCTTTTGTGCTGGAAGCCTGGAATATGGCACACGTGGTCCCGGTGGCAAAGGCGAGCGTGGTTCTGACATTGAGCACATGCCAGCACCCTGCATCGGCGCATGCTTTCTCCGTGCCCATTGATGAGAACATGCTGGCACACGCAGCTTCGCAAATTCTGCAGCGGGCCAGCGAGAAATTGGGCTTCTGCCCCGAGGACGTCCTGGACTTGACAACCTCTCTGCATGATCCACGGGAGATGCCTAGTTTGCGCATTGGAGATCGCTGTTGTTGTGGAAAAGTAGAGATGCGCCGAGATCCGATTGCCGAGGCGATGCAGGATCTACTCGAAGATGCTAGAAGGCAATTACAAGTAACCGGGCTGAGACCGCGAGTCGTGCGTGTGCTGCACGTTGCACCCAGGGGACCCAGTACCGAAATCGTTGCGCCTTCTGCACCTCCGAGCACGATGGAAAGTGAGGTTTTGCTCGCGCCCACCAGGCAATTCAGCCAACCTCAGCAACCCCTGGATAGGCATGAACTGCAGCTTCGCAGGAAGTCTCCTAGAAGCCTACGCCAGGATGCGCAGTCCTTATGGACCGCGCTGGAGAAGTCCAAGGTTTACATTCCCCCGGTACCAGATACACCGGTCGCGTATGACCGATTTCACTTAGAGCGACACGGGCATGGAAGAGGCAACACGAAAAGTACCAAGAAGAGGAGAAAGCGAGAGGATCGCGAAACTCTCTGTGTGGCTCTCAGCGAACAAACATTAGCAGCACTGCCATGTCTCCGACATGTTGCGATTTGTCAACCATACAGGTCAAAGCGTCAAACCAATCTGAGTCCAGTTTGCGGCTGCCCAAACTGCGTAAACACAGAGGTCGCCTTATCCTTCACCTCGAGCAGATCGCCCTTGAACACGGCGTGAAAAGGTCTCCCGAAGAGCCAGAAGCGGCTAACTCCCTGGAGAGCAGCGACTCCGAGGACTCCGGCAGTTGAAGGCGAGGCGCCCTCTTCTCTTTGTGCAAAAAGACACGGATCGCTACTGCAGCTTTGCTCGGCTCAAGGCATGGGACCTTTTGGGAAACAGCTTAGTGGCAATGAGAGGATATTCTGATGAGAGTTCCGTGGGCACGTGCATGCCCCTGCACTAACTCGGCAAGGAACGCAGGACCTGAAGTAGTCTAGGTTTCAACGTAGGCCTTCTTCACTTGCCACATGAACGACGATGGTGCTGACTCCGTCACATGGCTTGCCCTTGCAATTCTGATTCTCGGGCCGCTTGACTTCTTGGGGTCCAAACTTTTTACTCATCCCATACTCGGCGTGAAGCTAGACCTGCTTGATTTGCCCCATCATACCGGAAGGTCAAACCTTCCTGGCCTCCAGACTCAGTAGCAATCATGTTTTCTGCTTCCTTGTATGAACTGCTGGGTCGAATATGTTGGAACACTTGAAGCACCACAGGCGCAAGTTTTTGATTGCAGACAAAGCCATAACCAGTTACCCGCCTCCCTCTTGCTGTAAGCTGGAGCTAGACACGGAAATATTTCGCCTTGGACAAGCCCGAGTGATAGCACAGAAGCTTGGTTCTGGAACCTTCAGTGGTGCTGCTTGGTCGGATGTCCGAGAAAGAGTGTCGAGCTCCTTTCGTAGACCGTGCCAAGCGTGGTAACCGCAGCTACAGCATCAGGAGCAGCAGCAGGCCACGGCCCGGAGCGGCCAGCAGAAGCAGCAGTAGCACCGGCAGGAAAAAGGAGGCGAAGAGCCAGAAGACCATTAATGTAACATCCACCGCCACAGCAGTGGCGACCCAAAGGCCACAGAGATGCCAACAGCACAGGCACAAGCACAAACAGAACGCAGCAGGCACCACAAGCAGCCAGCGGCGGCAGCAGCAACAGCAGTTGCCGCCACCAACTCCACTTGCACGGCCAGCTGAAAGAACAAAAGCACCGCCACCGCCACATCGCACAACCAACACCACTAGCACCACCCACGACCCCCACAAGAGCAACAGCTGCCACGTGAGCACCACCCGTCCCAGCAGCAAGACATCACCAAGCGAAACGGTTAATGGGTTGCGTTCTAAAGTCGCGTGTCTGTTGGTTTATTTAGATTGACATTAATGCGTTAAGGGTGCATCTTTTTTGCTCTTCGCCATGAGGCGGCACGCAACTAGAGCCACTTATTGCCGAAGGTGGCACTAGGAAAACCGCTAGCTTCGCGCTAGGCATGCTGAGAACCGCATGATGCCGCATGCTCAAGCTGAAGCTTTAGAAGCCATGAAAGCGCCATCGGGCGCACCCGTGACCCGGGAGGGTGGTGGGATTGTTTTGTCTTGGTCTTGGGAGGACCTTGACATTCCCTTCTTCTTCGTCGTTGTTTTCATTTTGAGTAAACGAGTTTTGCGAAGGGAGTAGAAAAAAGAGAGAGGTGAAGCAAATGGAAAACACAGTTTTCGGAGCATCAGAGTAGCTGAGCAGCACTCCTCGGTTACGGGATTGTTGTAGGTATATCTGTCTAGGGTTTCAGGACGTCTCGGCAGTTGCTCCGTTGGCCTCCTCATCCGAGCTTGCAGGGAGGTCATTTTTGGGCATTTGTAAGAAAGGTCAGTGCGCTAGATCCGCGCTAGCTCGGCGCTAGCAAAAATTAAACTCAGCCTGCCCCAGAAGACCTGGTCCGCTTCAGCACAAGCCAAGATCCCGGAGCAGAAATCAGACAGGATCCGAGATGGCGCATTTTTCGCGGTGCCATGCTGCTGCCTGTAGAATGGAAGCGCCTACGTGATCAAGGCCTAGACAGCTACTACAGGCAGTACGCTGTGCAGCGCGCTCCCTCCATCGAACGCGCGGCCATGGGGGGCATTGGCTCCAAAGCCCGGCGACGTGATTTGGACACAAGAAGCTTGCGGGGGCTCGAGCCCGGAAGCAGCGGCAGCGGGACAACCTGCAAGCGCGCCGAGAGTCCAGCAGGAGCAGGAGCAGTAGCAGTAGCAGCGACAGCTCGTCCGACAGCAGCAGCTGAAAGGTCCGGGCGCTAGCAACCTTCTTAGGAATTCACGCATGCATCCCCAAACTCTTGTGTTTACTACTACGTATCTGTAGGCTTGGTTTCCTCTTGCCACATGAAGCGGCACGCAACTACAGCCACATTAACGTCAGTTTCGGGAACAAACATTTTGACAACAACCCTAATATTGGCGATGGCACCGGCGACATTGACTGCCATGGTGGCTGTGACGACAACAACGACAATAACGAATATGAGGCAGGAGCAACCTTGTTGCTTTTCTATTTTTTTCCCCGAGGCTTTTTCTTGGTGGACGGCTTGCGCTCTCCAGGTCGGGGCCTTGGCGGTGTTTGTCGGGAGACTGAAACGTTTATGGTGTGGCAAGCATTGCCGTGACTTGCTCAGACGCTTGTGGTGGGGAGGTGGCGCTCGGACGTCCCATAATGTTCATATGTTGAGCGTTCTTGAAGTGTGGGCATCGGCGGATCCAAGATGGCCCATGTCTGACTTTTTGAATGATACTCCATGTATGTGGTGGGAGAAAGCCACGCATCCTCGATGCAGTGAAGCCTCCAAACTCAAAGTTTGAGTGACCTGCTATGTCAGCTATGTCTCGTTTGGAGGAAGCTCCCTTCCCCCAGGCCGCGCGCCGGCGGACAGCAGGGCCAAAGCCGGCTCTTGTCCGAGAGCTCCCAGATGCAGCAGGAGGCGGTTGCCCCTGTCGTTGAGCCTCTGTCTCTGCTGCTGTTGTGCTGTAGTCCAGATGGGAAAAGAGTTGGAAACAGGTCATCGTGTTTGTCTCCTGAAGCCCAGAGAGCCTTTGCAGAGCCATGCAATACCCGTGCCCAGGCTGGCGTCTCCGAGCCTGGACGCAAAGAAGCAGTGCCTTCTCTGAGCGAACGGCCTGTGCTGCTTGATGGTCTTGGCCTGACAGCTTGGCTTTTAGTTCTTTTCTCACTTTGGCAGCTGCAGCAATGCAGCAAGTTCTCGAGGTCGAAGTCGCTGCATCGGTACCAGCTCACTCCCAGCGACTTGCTCGCTGGCACTGCTCAAGTGGCGGAGCACTCCGGCGAAGGCTCGGCCTCTTCACTTGTCTGGGACGTGCAAAGCACCGAGGATGCGGCAGCGCTTTTGGCCGGTTGTCCGCTCGATCTGGTAATCGCTTGCAGCTTCCAGAGAGCCTACGCTCCGCATTACTTGGCCCAGCAGGAGGCGGTTCGAAAACTGGCCGAGGCACAGCCAGCTGGAATGGCTTTCGCATGTGTGGACTTGAGCTGCAAGGATGTCGCCGAATGGGCAGGTGTGCGGGAGCCGGAAGTTCGGCTACTTCAGCCGGATGGCTCCGTGATGGCGCGCCTGAACCCACAGGAAGTGAAGACAGGTGCTTTGCACAAGTTGGCACTGGACAAAGCGAAGAGCTTGGCCCAATCGGCGGAGCAGAAGCTGGATGCCTTGTCTGAGCGATTTCCAAACGCTTTACGTAGCGAACTTGACATCTGCCTTCCCCGTGACACCCCGGAGAAGATGAACCAAAATGCAGTGGACACCGTGCAAAAGATGTATGGTTGCGAAAGCCCGGAAGCAGAGATGGTGGACACTTTATGTCGGACTTGCCAGAAGGGCTCTGTACCCAGGCCACGCTTCATAGCTGGCCTGGCAAAGATTATCCGTGCCTCTGACGCCAAGTCGAGCATACCATTTCTGGATTTGAGTCGGCGTTTGGCCGGGCTGAAGCTGTGTGGAGGCGCAGAGCCGGGGGCCCAAGAGGCTTTGGAACTCCTCTTGGACTCCAGCCTCTGCAAAGTTGACGAGAGCCCTGGGCCAGGGCCTTGCATGATGCTCGCGCTGCAGCTCCTGGCCAATTGCTTTCACCAGCCATCGCTGGCAGAGGCTTTGCTTCCAGTCGTTGCACAGTTCGTGCAGGCACCTGCTTGGCCTGTGTTGTGGTCCGAAGCACCAGGAACCAGCCAAAGCCACCTAGACAAAGCAAGGGATGCTGCCGCCATCATGCTTCTGAATGCATCAGTCGTGCTGAGACAAGCGCGCCTGCGGGCGACACATGCCCCTTTGCTCGAGCATTCAGTTCTTGCGTTGAAGCGGTGTCCAAATGACCAGAGACTAAATTGGACAGTCGCCAACCTGCTGGCGATGGGTGGAGGAGTGGACGAGGCCAAGTCGGTCTTGCAGGCACAGCCGATGACGCCCCTGCGGCTCCTCGCAGCTGCAGTCTTCAACGACCAGCTGAGCGGGCCAGACAGCGTGGCCTTCCCAGCAGCATGGCACCCTCCTACTACTTCCACGGCGATGGCACCTGCGAATGACCAGAGGAGGCGTCCGGGTCGAGCCATACCGGCTCGGCACCGTCGTCGCGGTGGAGGCTGAGGTTAGGTGCACTGACATGTCAATGTAGTGACAACGCTGTATTGGCCCCCTCGGCTCATGAAGGCAGGTGAGAATGCATGTTGAGCGAGACATGGGAGAGTCTGTATTTCAACGGATACAATAGCACCAATGGCAAGTTTTCACGTGTATGGGCTCTCCTTGTTGATGCCTGCTTGATTGTCGATGAAAGGGCCTTTGCATCTAGTCACTCCTGCCGTGTGTGTGCAGACGGATGTCGTTTGCTCGGCAGCACCGGGGCATCCTGTACAGCGGCACACGTTCCGCAGGAACACGTCAACAAAAAGCAATTGGCGATAAAAAGCCAGGTTGAAGTCTCACTGCAGAGTCATTGCGCCACGACCCGAGGCATGCAGCGATCGAGATGGCAGCGCACATGCGACTCCGGAACACCGCTTCGTTGGAGGCCTCAGACAGAGCAGCGCAGAAGGCAGCTGGGCCGCAGCTGAAGAACCTGCAGAAGGAGTTCGAGGAGGATGAGAACGAACGTGAGGCTGTTAGAAAGAAAAGGATGCCACAGTTGTGAAGTCGGGCAAGTGGAACAGAGCATCTCACTGCAAGCGGTTGCGCTGTGATGCATGCTACTCAGTGGATGGTTTGGCTAGAAAAGCTCCATTTTTGAATGTCAGGGGGTAGGTGTTAGGTGCGGGCGCTGGTGCCGCACTCTCAGAGTGCAGCTCTGGCTGGGCTCTTAAATCTGGAATCACAAGAGTGCAATTCGGAATGCACACGGCTGTAGTTGTCTTCAACTGTCGCCGAGGCGTCCGCGAGCTATGAAAGTCACACTGAAATATGAGGCCACAAAGTCTCGGAGCGATCAGACTAGTGAGTGGGATCTTTTGTCTTGCGAAAGGAAGCTCAAACAGAGGACCCGGGCTGGGCCTTTTCACGCCGAGCCGGATTTCCGAACCGACCTAATGTATTGTGTCGTCGGGAGCCCACGCTGCCCTTGCCGCAGGACCTTTTCATGACGCTGCGGCTTACTCTACCGCAAAAGTATGTCAATGGAACCAACAAGGAGGCATGCTTGCCGGAAACTGCGCAAGCCACGCGGCAGGTCGTGTTTTTGCGTCAAATGCCAGGTGGTGAAACTTTTTGTGGACCATTACAACAAGCTGCTCTTTTGCAGTTGATGAATCAGGGAGGTCTCAGCTCTGTCTTCGTGACCCCCGAGGAAGAAAGCCGACAACATGCTCTCGTCAGAGGATCTGCACCTCAAAATCGTGCGTTTCTCGGGCCTATTCGGGACCAGATTGAGTGGATCGTGAAACAGAGAACCAGGTTGGTGGAATTCACCTCGACAATGAAGAGAGAGTGCGTGACTCTTTGTCGCCAGCACCTGAATGACAACGATGCTGTGTGTTTGGCAGTGTCCATGAATGCCGCGAGCAGTCGAGGAACGGTGACGAGTGCTACCTCCTGGGCAAAGATTCAGAGGGGTGCCGTCCTCAGGATGGCTCAAGCGTACGACGTACGCTTTGGATTATTGCACGGCACTTGGAGACCGTACATGTGCACTGCTGATCAGGCCGGCGCCCAAGCGGCAAGAGGCCGAGAAGGCCAGTGTCCTCATTGCACGTGCTTGTTCTCAGCTTCGCATGTGGTGATCTTGCGGACAGGGCTACCAGTGCACGCCGGCAGCTGCCAGCAACACCACTGAAACCAAGGCCGCTGTGGCCACGCCTAAGACTACGATCTGGCATCCGCAGAAGTTGATGTTGGGGGCATGTGTGGATGTAGTGGGGACGGGGGGGGGGGGCGGGGCGAAAAACAAATCCTCACTTTGTCTTGAGCCAGGTGGCTAAAAATGCAGACGGAAAGGTAAGGTCGAGTACTCGGTTGGCCGGATCGACTATCGCTACGTTTAACGCCCAGAAAAAACAGCTGAGCAGAATGACTCAGGTGTAAGAACTTCGGCTGCCAGATGACGTTTGATCCCAATGGGTCGGGAACTTGGATGGACTCGCAATTTGATTTGAACTTTGTGAGTCATAGCACTATCATAGCACGGAGCGCTTTGAATCGAAATCTGAGGCCGCCGCAGGAATGCCTACACCACAAGGTGCGGGCAGCCGCAACACGTCGTCAGACATTGTGTGTTCCACGTAATGACGAATCTCAGTCTGCCCCGATCTTTCATGAAACCGCCAAATGGTGGCCTCGAGCTCAGCTTACCCTTTGACCATCTCAGATTGATGCGCAAGTGTAAGCAAGCGTTGAAGGTCATGCTGCCCAGATAAAAAGGCTTACGAGTTCGATGAGCCGCAGCCCTAGCGTGCAAGGCGTGCAGTGCAATGGAAACAGAATCGGTTGCAGAAAAGCCTTGCAGAAAGGTTTATGAGGATACCGGGCTGCACGAAGGCTGGCAAGTCAACTTGAAATTTCAGCCATGGCCATGCCAGCTCTGAAAGTCAAAGCCGTGGCGGCGCAATCCTTCTGAAGATCACACCGTGCCACATTCCCGAGCCGGTAAGTCTTTTGGCCCAGGGTTTCTGCAGCAGCGAGAGCCAGGGGAAGAAGGCGCCATCTTTTTTTGCTTGTCCAGCGGCACCTTGTATCTGACGATCGCAGGGCAGGATCGGACTCCAGACCAACTTGTGTTAAGTAGTTACAAGTATGCGATTCGACCTGACTCCGTTGGCCAATCGTGCCTGACTTTGTACATGCCACGTCATGTGATCTCACAACCATGTTCAAGAAAAGCCATGAAGGCTCATTATTATGTTGCTCCAATGGGTTCGCACATGATTCTTGCAAGAGTGGCGTATGCTTTGAACGGGCTGAGCTTTATGGACAGCCCATGCCCCATATATCATCTTTGCAAAAGATTCCAGTCTGTTAGACTGATAGAAGTCGGTGGAAGAATGTTTTCCATCATGTCAAAAACGCAAGGCAAACCACAATAGTCGCTTTCGAATGGTTTCCATGAGCTCACCTGGGGATGGCCACCATGTACTCCCTGCAAGTGCTGGGGTTCGGTCGAAAGCGGCGGTGGTCGCGACGGCATCAGCCAGCACGACGCCGAGGCAAGGTCATCCCGCAATGCCGAGCTGTGCGGCGGTGCGAGGGGTGCGGTTTCAAGAAAGATGGCCTTTGCGCTTGCAGCTTCATGGAGATGGACCCATTCGAACCCGCTTCGGCCGTGCTTGCAGTGACACCCCTGGCACCCAGCAATTGCGGACAAGGAAGTTTCGCTGAACTAGAGCTGTCGGCTTGGCCACACCTTGGGAAAGGCGAAGGGGTCGAGCTGCGCATGTGCTCGACGAGTCATCCAGGACACCACCTATGGCCCCATTCCATGCGTGTCCTCCTGGATGGAAGAGAGCTGGCCCGTGTGAATCCTCAAGACAACCAGCGACGACCTGACTCTCCGTTGAAGCTGCAGCCACCAGACAAGGCCGGGGAGGTGTGGGGACCCAGGAGGCATCAGGTTATTCATTGTTTTGCCGAATCATCTGCTTCTACGACTAGCCAGCTGTGGTCACAGCTGGTTCGACCCTGCCCCTGCTTACCACTCGACTTCGTGTCTTCCGTACTCTCAACGTGTCTTGCAACAAGTTGTCCCAGGCAGGAGGCCATGTTTTGCAGCTCTTCGCGGGCGCTAAGCCTGCCGGATCGATCCTTGGAATATGAAAGAATTGGGTCTGCCTAAGGTCCTTTCAAGTTCATGTGGCTTCACTCCCGCATTCCAGAAGTTTTCGCACCTGTGCGTACGTAGGCCTGTAGCATTGCTGAAGTGCTGAACCTCAAGATTCAAGCTTTGCGCATTTGGGGAAGAAGCTAGAGAGCATTGCTTGAGCTTTGGGATCGGATCCTTCGAGTTTAAGAGGCCAAGTCTTTAGAAGATCCGAGGATGTCGAGCGCCAAAGAGGACTTCGTCCTGTGCCTGGTGGTCACTCAGAAGAGGCCTGTTCCTTCCACAGCCACTCTTGAGCAGGATTTTCCGGGCTGCCCCAACCTGTTTCACCAGGTTTTGCTGGAAGCAGTGTTTGTGGAGGGTCTCGTGGGTTTACATCGAATGGGTGTTTGGGTTTTGGAGCGGTATGGGGCTTCAAGGATTGTTTGCTCCTGAGCGTTAAGCTCATGCGCGAGCTCAGCAGTGATGTTTCTGTCTTACACTTCAGGTTTGAAGACCGTACGGTCAACGACTCCATCGAACCCTAAACAGATAAAGTTTGACCTGACACCCGAGCAGCAGCCATACTGGGGTTTGCCAGGAGTCATTTTGTCCACCGGCACCCACGCAAGATATAATCAGCAGCCTGGGATGGAATATCTACGTGATTACAAATGGTGGGACGACTTCGGTTATTGCTATTGAAAATAAATCCCGCCGCCGTTGCGATGCTCATGCCTGTTTGCGTTCGGAGGCGGAGTGTGGCTGACCTGCTGGATGATTGTCGGCAAAGGCGCGGACAGTTGGCATCCTGCAGCCTCTTGTCGAACCGTGCCACAGTATCCTTCAGACCTCCTCAGGCTTCATGCGAAGTTTACAACCTCGTCTATGCTGCAGTGTGTTGACCATGAGCGTCACGCCGTCCGAGACGAGCCTGAAATTCCAGATTGCTGGGGCCATCGAGTGTAAGACTGAATACCCCGAACCCCACAGGCTGCAGCCCCTTGCCGCCCTGGCACTTGACTTTAGTCGCAAACCTTCCGCCCTGAAACCTTGAAATCCTAAACCTGTGGCTCGCACCGCATTCTTGATTGTAGGCCCGCCATTCCGGCAGGCCGGGTGTGACTTGTATGCTTTTCTTGAGCCTGATTTTGTCCGAAAAGATCCACGAAGTGGGTGTCACGGCTGTGCTAACATCGAGGATTACCACTTTTCTTAATCAATGCCATCAAGCTTTCAGCTGGCTTAACTTGTGTCAGTTGCCTTGGGAAATATTGGGATTTGTGCCGCGATCATCTCAGCCCTCTTTGACAACCCCGAACCCCGGGCGATCTACAAAGAGCAAGTACGCACGTAGCACCTTCGGATATGGTCGGGGCAGCTGTGTTGGACAGCGAGATTGTCCCAGGAACGATTAACCATGACGGATTGCAAGAAACAGATGTTTGGAATACCGGCTATGACTCTTCAATGGTGTATTTACTTGGGCAGGGCGGAATACCACGAACACAATCCATACCACAGCGGCAGCAAAAATACCAAGAACAGCAACAACCACCGGCGGCAACCGACGACAACGACCATGAGACGAAGTGTAGCGGATACGGAATCTATGCAGGGACAATCCCAACACGAGTCGTGCGACCAATCGCCAAGGTGAGCAGTCGCAATTTGCACGCATGCAGCTGGGGTCGGGTTCATATCCATAGCCATAGATCTACGATGAATGGTAGTGCTCCGGCGCCGCGCCCCGCACTCCAGGAACACACTTCTCCCGTCAGCATCTACGCCCTTAACGATCTGCTGCAGGTGTCTCTATGCAGCTACTTCATGAATTGCGGTGCGCCGAGGCCTGCAGTGCGGACATAATATACTCGTGGGCATAGGCCAGGCCCTCTAATCACCTCTGCTGTAGGAGTCAGGGCTCGCAAACAAACCGGTCCCAAAAGCATGCCCCAGACGCCTGCAATACGTATACATCGCCGCAAAGATCTGGGGGAAGGATAAATTGTCAGCGCCTTTCCTGTCAGGGGCGTGAGGGTGCGCTGGCAAGTCACGATCGAATCATACTTCCTAATTCCTGTGACGTTCCGTTTCCAAGCGATGTATAGATGTGAAAATGGTGTTTGCCAGTGTGCTGGCCATCCATCCCACCTTTGGCGGTGACAGGCACCCATCATCATGAAGCCTGTGGCACTCTGCAGCCTCACTAGAGTCTGAAAACAGCCTCAACTCGTAAACCCTCCACAACTCTCCAGTCTTGCGTAGGTTGGGGTTCGCTCCAACACGCCTTGGCAGCAACCACTACGCTGCCCGCTAACCCAGGACCTGCCAGCTCTGTTGTATCAGGTGCGGAAGTCAAGTGCCATTTGCACACTTGTTGTGTGCGCTGTTTTAATCTGCTTTCGATGACATCCAATGATCAGAGCCTTCGAACAAGCGAAACGCAACATGATATTCTAGTTCGCTTCTTTTCGGTTGCTTGAGCTTCATGCAAAGATGCGGACTTCGCAGTTCAGCTCCGTTGTAGAATCAGAAGTCAGGCTTCGGAGCAGTGTGAAGGACTGAACCCCCTCCCATGCAATCCATTTGAAGGAACGACTCGTGGAGCCAGCGAGGGGTCTTAAACTGAGAGGGCGGCGTATCGGTTGCTGCGTGTTCAGCGCCCAGTACTCTGCAGAGCTCTGTTGCTTGTCCGAAACCATTCAGGTATGCACTGCCAGCATTTGCAGTGTTTCGAGCTGGAAGCTTTCCTCATCACAGCGGCAGCGATGCCGTTTCAGCGGAGGCTAGATCTCTTCAGTATGGGTTCAACCGACCAGCCCTGACCAGTGCTTGCATTTCTGGGAAGGTAATCACAGCAACTTCCCAACCCTTCAGCATCCCTCAACCCTAAACCCGACAGCCCTGAGTCCGAGCCTGCCTCTCAGATGGCGTTGTCCAATTTGCGACACGCAGCTTCGGCCGGCGCAGGTTGCGATTTGCGAAATGACGAGGCGCAGAAGAGAGATGACATGGTTCATAGCATAGCCCAGAACTCCGCAAAGACAGGGGACTCCTGAAAGGGCCAACACAAGTTTCAACGCTCCCCGCCCTGTCCTCACCCCGCACCCCCCTTCACAGGCGCTTCCTCTGGGACCTGCCGGCCGAAGCATCCTTTGCGCCCTTGGAAGCGGCAGCGTCCTCGGGGCACGTGCGGGGCCCGGGCCCGCTTGGCTTTCCGAGTAAACCCTGAACCCTCTTCTCCTTGAAAGGGTTTAATTAGATCCCAGTTTTGTCGACTCCCAGGTTGCGGCGAGCAACACATGCCCGGACCTAAAGCGCAGGCCTTGCTTCGAACAGCTTGCGCATGCCTCTCTTAGGCGACTTGACAGCTGAGCCTGCTGTACCTGTTCCAGTTCACGTGGCGAAGTCTGCAAGGCGGACGCCACAAACCAGACGTTGTGGCAGATGGGCTTCAGCGCTTGGATGGTTAAGGGTGCAGTTTGCAGGCAGCACAGGTGCGATCCCTTCTTATTGCGATTGAGATGGGACGGGCTCTTGGGCTACGTGAGTGCGAACCTTCCGGGAGGATGCAGCGGGGCCATTGGGGCCGGCGATTGCGCTGTGAGGCTGGAAGTTCGAACTCAGGGTTCAGTTCAGAGTTCAAGCTTTGGTGCGGCAGAGCTGGGGTCATCTTGAGCTCTGGACCTCAGCCTGTCCGGCTCGGGCGGGTTTGAGGAAGACTGTTACTGTTCAAGCCACCGATGTTCCAAAGGCTGGCCTACTCGGTTGTTGTTGTCCACTTCTTCCTGTTGCACTTGACGTGTTACTGGAAATACTGACACTACCGCTTCAACAGCTACAAAGACGCCAACCACGCCAACACCACATGGAGGCACAACAACATCAACGACACAGACAACGGCTACAACGCTAACACTAATCGCACCACCAGCCACTCCTAATTACTGCTACCCGTGTGTTCTACGACTGCTACAGTTCTTGCTGCTAGTAATACTCGTAGTAGTAGGGATTCCCCTCCCTCCCGGTGCGACGCCAAGACCTATCATTGTTCAGACGTCGTGTCGTCAGAAATGCATGGTTTACTTGGAAATTTGGGAAGCCCGTGTTGTTTGCTGATTCCTGGCTCTTAGCCAGAAATGCCGGTATTTACGCGATAGTCTTGGAGACTTTCTTGTTTTTGTGCTGTTTTTTGAGGTCTGGATTTTCGTGCCCAAAAACTAGCGATCAGAATGAAGCTTTTTTGTTTGTCTACTTTCGGTGGTCTTGATGTTCGTCCAAAGCGTTTGAGAACAGAGCATCCATGCCCAAAACCTAATGACGTCCATGGTCTAGTGCGTTTGAAAGCAGAGCATCCATGCCCAAAACCTAATGACGTCCACGATCTAGCATTGGAGAACAGAGCATCGGAGTCGATCAAGATGCTGATGATGAACATGTTCCACGACGGGTGTCGCACCAGAGGGGAAAAGCTAGTAGTAGTAGTAGTAGTAGTAGTAGTAGGAGCAGTACTAGTAGTGGTAGTAGTAGTAGTAGTAGTAGTAGTACCCGGTGAAAAAGCACCACCGGAGGAGTCGAAGTTTAGTGGAAGTTTCGATCAAACTCCGATTCCGTGAATCGGAGTTTGATCGAAACTTCGACTAAACTTCGATTCGGGGGTCGAAACTTCGATCAAACTTCGATCAAACTGCTAGTGTCGAATCGCAGTTTGATCGAAGTTTGATCAAACTTTGAGTCAGATCAAAGTTCGATCGAACTTCGACTCCTGAGTCGAAGTTCGATCGAAGTTCGATCAAACTTCGATCCAACTTCGACTCGGTGAGTCGAAGTTTGATCGAAGTTTCGACTAAACTCCGACTCGGCGAGTCGAAGTTTAGTCGAAACTTCGACTAAACTTCGATTCGTTGAGTCGGAGTTTA